ATATATATGTTTGTGTGTGTGTATAAATTAATATATGTATATGCATACATATATGGGTATGTATAATACACACACACACTTATATACATATATATTCATATACACATATGGACACATATATATTTATATATCAAAACACATATATACATACATAAATATGTATACGTATGGATGTGTATATATTTACCTACATGAACATATATTGTAGACACTGACTCATGCTTTCTCCGACATACACAAATTAATCAATTTAATCATATACAAAGGTATAAATATTAAACCGTCAGCCTTTATTACAAAACAATTACTGAGAACACAAAATATAATTGCTTAAGAAAGCCACGCCCTCGCAGACACGTGATCTTGCAGCTATAAAAGTCGTGTCTTCTCCCACGCATTCATTCCTTCGGAAGCGCATCAGCAACATGAAGTGAGTATCAAAAGCCGAGAATTTCGTTAAAGAGGCTTTAGTCTGTCCGCTGTGAGTGTTCAAGTATAACGCATGTTTTCGTGCAACTTTACTTGTAAGGAATATGTTCAGGTTTTCTGTATGTAGTATATTGAATGTGTCCTTTTTAGTTTAACTATAGCAAGGATATATTTCTGAAATAGATAAGGTTATATAGTGTGGAAATCTTGTACCCACTTTAAGAGGTGAGGTGCCCTGTTAGCGGATGTGTGCATACATACATATATATCTATGTCTCTGTATATATATTATATATAAATGCTTACAATAGGTTTCTTGTACTTTTATTTTTTTCCCCGTGTTGAATCGGAATTCGTAAGCCTAATTTTTCTTTTCCTAATTATATTTCATGCATTGCCAACTGGATCGTAATCACAAGAACCATTGTTGTAAGAGGAATCGAGAGAGTGACAAAAACAGAATACTTACGTTAAACTTAATATAATTGAAGTAGTAGAATGGTAATACTAGTCTGAATCATACCCAAACGATGCTGTTCCCTTTGCACTCTTTCCTCTATTAAACTGAATAGTTTTGTAATTTATCCAACAGCCTTTTTTGTTTTTGTTTTTTCATGATCATAGGTTATTTTTCCTTATCATTATCAATGGTATTGGTAATATGGCTTTGCTGTTGGTATCATCCTTATCACTACGATTATCATTATCAACCTATACAGTCATCACTATCGCCATAATAATCAGATTCATTCTCGTACCGCAGGATTGTTATTGCAACTGTTGTTCTCGGGGTTGTGATGGGAGTGACCTGCGCCTTCTCTACCCCAGAGAAGCCTCAGTCTGTGGTCCAAACTGATACGAAGGAAGATAAAATCAGGTAAGGGAAAGGAGAGGGAAAGAGGAAGAGTGGAAGAGTAAGAGAAGAATGATGAGGGGAGGAGGGAAACAACTGAGAAAAATAGATTAAAAAAAAAAAAGTGAGAACGAGAATGAGAAAGTGATAGCATGTTGAGAAAGAGGGTGTTAATGGGAAAGAGAATGAACAAATTGAATGTAAAAAAAAGAGGGAAAATAAGAGAGACAAGTTTTACGCTAAAGTTCTTAAATATTCCTACTAATGACTTTTTATGTCTAACAGGCTAGATGGCAAAATTCCTTGATTTTGGCAAAATTAGTGAAGAAAAGTTCAGCGGAGAAAAGCCTTGCTCAAGACGATGACGAAATCCACGACCATGGCAGACAGGAAAAAATAGTTCCACCCAGTATAGATTTCTTTCATGAGGACGAAGTGAAAGAGGACGCTGGTCATCATCATCATAAAACCAACCATCACGATAAGAATCACGAAGGCAATTCTAAGGGAGAACATGCCTCTCAACCATGATTGGGATGGCGACAGCATGGCAACCTCGAGGATGACAACGGCAATGCTAAGGACGAACTACCATATGTGTATACACTGATGTATATATCTATATGCTGGTATATACATGTGTGTACATGAAGATTATTGGTTAAATTTAAAACGACATCAAATTTCAATCACACCCCCCCCCCCAAAAAAAAAAAAAAAACATCCAGTCTATCACTCAGTCAAACTAATACTAAACATATCAACTTTAAAAGATGTTAATTGAATATGATAGGTAGATAAATATTACCTTAATTTAAAACTGTATCTGACTGCAAATCTAGTTCTAATTGTTTTGTTCAAACAGTTAGTAATTGCTTGTGTTATAATCATTATTATACATAGCCAATAAAGAGCACCTGTATAATGGCACTCCAAAAGCCGGAGAAATAAAGAAATCAAAGCATGCACATGATTGTTTTAATCAACTTTCTTAAGAGTGATGATGTATGTAGATTCGAAAATAGTCTCCTCAGTTCTTTTTTTTATAAAAATATCATAAATAATAATAAATACATATATTCATATATATATTTTATATGTGTGTGTGCGTTTATACATATTTCACTAACAAAAACGATATAATAATAGCAAACACGTATATATATATGTATATATATATAATATATATATATATATATATATATATATATATACATATATGGTACGATATATATGTGTGTGTGTGGTGGTTTGGTAACACCACCCACGACAGCATGACACGCAGCAGACACACAGTAAATATATATATATATATATATATATATATTATATATATATATATATATCATATATATATATTTTATAATATATATATAATATATATA